TTACAGACGACCTGTAGGTCCAGAGAGTGTCTATGGATGAGCTGAAGGACAAGGAAGTGTCCATAAACTTTTTGAAGGACCAGAAAGTGTTCATAGACGAGCTGAAGAGCAAGAAGTCTCCACAGATAAGCTGAAGAGCCAGACATTCTCCATAGACAAGCTGAAGGACCAGTAAGTGTCTATAAACGAGCTGAAGCGCAAGAGAGCTGAAGATCCTGCCTCTTCAACTTCATCTTTATAGGCGCGTCGAGAGAGCAGGTTCAAATATATCTCAAAGTAAGGTCTTCCCAATGAAGAACAGAAGGTCTCTCATAGAAGAAACCAGAAGGTCTTCTCAATAGAGAAGAGAAGATCTTCTCAATAGAGAAGAGAAGATCTTCTTCTTCTTGAAGACTCCCTAGTCATCTAGCAATTCCAACTTCAGGTCATTCATAGGGTCTACAGCCTTCTATAACTTTATGTCATAAAATTTTTTCTCTCGTCGTTCGTACACTAAACCCCGTGGGACATTGTTGTTTTCATCGAATTGTTTATTGAGATCTAGGTCGATAATTCTACTGATCAAACCCATTAGGATTACGAAATACATTGTCGTAGATTTCTATACAAACAATTATTAATGAATCCCTTCATAATTGTACATCCTTTCAAAAACTGGGCGTGGTTGTGTATTAAACCCACAAAACCATGAAAGAATTGGGTAAACTATTATTGAAGTTATAACTACCAAGTTTTAATATCATGTCATGGTTTCTTCACTATAAATGTTGTATAAATGTGCACATGGTCCACTTCCAAAATGGAAAACACGATCGATTGCGAAAGTTCGCCAGTATCGATTAAAAAAATTATGAGGCGATAAATTTTTGAAACGTTACGTTCATTAGTTTGGAATATAAAGCATTATTAAAGAAGAAGGCGAGTGGAAGGCTTCACCCACTTTGAATTTCTATTCATCACAGTAAATTCCAGAATACTCTGTGAAAATATCAGGAAAATTGATTCAACCGTTTCCCTGTCAATAAGGAACATGATAACACACATACAAAAATGGGGTTTTATAGATACAGATTGATAAGAGAGTGGGCGTTTTCTCCTCAAGTTTTTTAAAAAATATCCTTTATGTGGCCTTCCTCTAATTCATATTTGTAACAAACAGCGCCACTGCAGCAAAAAAAACAACGGCCATTTCGGAAACTATAACATCTGGCAGCAAGCCACACAATAAGTTGTAGTGAGGACACCTTTATATTACAATAACGAACCGCAGACATAAGCCATAACGTTATTCGAACAAGCTAATAATAATGTGGTAACTCCAGAATACTCTAGTTTGGGATAGTGTGCTACCAATATTTTCGAACTCATACACGCTATTATCGACAGAAATACCGCAATAACGACATAATTAATCATTGATTTAAACCATCACCATCAAACCATGGCTTCAACTTATCGTGCAACAAAGCTGTAAACGACTATCTAATAGGAGTGTTCGTTTACTCGATAATTTGTACAATTTTTAACTGGAAGCTATTCATTTACCCAAAAGTATAGCATGTGAGTGCAAAATGAGAGAGTCATTTTGACATTGGAGTATCTGAGAGTTTGTAAATTATAACTGGGAAAATTTCTTCAGTTTTTCAATAATCAGTTGAATTGTAAACAAACAAATAAATTAAGCCAATATTTTTTCTACGGAAAAATATTAACAAAAGAGGTTTCGGATGATGAGCTTTGTTGTTTATTTAGTTGTCAAATCCAGCTAAAAAATTGCGAAATCGTGGATAACCATTGTCCTTGTCAGGAATATTGGTTGTTGAGCCGATCTAGCTATGTATATCCGCCCGTCCGTCTATCCATGTCAATTTGTAAACACCATACAGGTCGTGAATCACGATTTAGGTCAGAATAGAACCCTATTTGGAGATGATCGCAAAATACTTAGGAGTGAAATGGAATATAGATCGCAATTATAGGCCAAACGACGCCAAACTTAGCACATGGCTAGAGTTTAGGGTTGGTCAAAAGCCTAACATTTTTTTGATCATCGGTCAATATTTAGCGGGTAAATTACATAGATCATAATTTTATGTAAAAAAATACGAAAATTTCGACTAACCGAATATTTTTAATCCCGGCAAAAATAAAAATAACAAAATTATAACTCAAGAACGGCTGGATGGTTTTAAACAATTCTCAGAAATTCGGAATGGTCCCTTGCATAAAAAGGATAAAATCTAAGAAAATCGCGTGAAAATTGCAATAAAAAAGTGAACATTATTTTATTTTTGAATACCCTCTACCATTTGGAAAGAATTTGGATATTAAAAAATACTTTTAAAAATCATAAAAATACCGAATATAGGGAGTTACCGTAATATGGGGGTATATACGAAAACGTGGACCTGCACAGCCAAGTTTTGTCATAGTCCATTACAATATTCACATAGGAAACTTGAAAAAAAATCCGGTAAATAATATTGCAAAAACATCATAATACCGAATACGAAATATGAAAAAATTTTGGTGAATAATGTCGTTATAGTCATAAAAATACCGATCATTTTCAATACCAAAAGCCCTGTAGACCAAACACACATTTATCAACCTACTTCAAACGGCTCGGAAGCTAGAGTGATTTCCACAAATGGACAGATAGACGGATGAACATCACTAAATCGACATTGAATCATTGCTGATATCCATATATACACTGATACAAAGTGAAACACACAGACTTGGTTCATTGAATAAAACCGAAAATGACAGTCGTTGACTTAGGTTTTTTATCGTTATCTTTGGAACGAAACAATTTTTGACATTGTGCTTTATAGAGTTGCCACATGCGCGATATTGGCACTAGTTTCGGCATTTTTTATTTTTCATGACTTGGTTCGGTATGGCAGTGAGCCCTCCATATATCTTCTGGTGTTAGAAATGTTTACAAATTGTGTTAACTTATATATTAAGCTACAAACTACGTACGACACCACAACTTAGTCGTTTTCCTCTGTTATATTTTCTTCAAATTTTAGTTATCTAATTTAATTTTTAAAAACAAGAGAGCACAGGCTATATCCGTTCGATTGTGTAATCAAGAAATTTTTTCTGTTGTTGGTTCATTTGTACCGCTAATTATTTTGCGATCAGCAAAAGTCCCCTATGTATCTCCAAATTTAGACTCAACTATATGATTTGCTTGTCCACGATATTTGGCCTTTTGTGTATTTCAGATACCGCCTGTAAGTAATACTGGTATTTTTTCACTCAAAAGTAGTGGTACATTCTACCTACTGTACTAAACTTTAACTTTATGCGAGATTTCGTATCCCTTGGTTTCTTTTTGTAGACTTTATAACGGCTGCAAAATCAGGAACATTTTTAGTTGTTGGTCCATTTGAAGCCCTAAATATATTCCGGATATCTTTGAAAGCAATTTTCGATAATTGCAATCTTAATATAATAGTCCCAACCTGTGTTGTAAGGTGAAAACATATTACAAAATATGCACTTCAATATTATATATTGATATTTGCCATAATTATAGTTTTTATTTGAAACGAGACAAAGTACATTTACATACAAAATATCTTCCAGTATTAACCTAGGTAATTAACCAATCACAGATAATTTGACTATAGAAAACATACATTAAAATTATTATATTAATTAAATTCCCACAAAAATGCTTCTTACACTTTCTCTGTTCCAGAACCTGCAAGAATCTATTAGTTTTGTATTTTTTTTTTTTTTTTTTTGCGATATCATAAATGGAAAATTGGTTATTGTAGTAAAAAAGTTTTACATTGCAATTCTGTAACAGACCAACTACGTATCATGGTAAGATGAAGAAAGTCATTTCGAATATGCATATCCATCCCTGCATTTAATTCTACCATACTATGGCCGGTTATTACATCTTTCCGATAGATGAAACAATGATGTTGTCGGACACATAAAACGTTTTTCGTTATTACAAGTTTCGTTTAAGTATGAACTGTCCGATAAGCAAAAGGTCAGACAATCTTCCCTTTATATTTTAACGTAAATTTACTGAATTCATGTTGCCATATTTTATATTGAAAATATGGCAATAACAGCAAAATTTATTTAAATAAAAAATGGATAACGTAAATCGTTTATTTTATATTGGAGAACTGAATTATAGATTTATTTCACGAAATTAATTACAAATTCGTTTTGTTCATTATTTTTAAACTAAAATGAAGATGCCATTGTGAAAAAAACTCAGCGACTACCAGTTACTTTTACAAAAACCTTGCCACATCTCTGTAAAAAATCATTTATTTTAACGCAAAGATATAAAATGAGAACTTTATAACTTTAACTATAAAGGAAAGATATAAAAACGGGCCTATGTATATCAAAATTCACACATTTTGTAACGAAATGAATCTTCAAACACATAAAGAACTTGATTTTAACATTTAATTAAGTTTTCCCATTGTGTTATTTACTCACTCACTAAAAAAGAACAATATTTTTTTGGTAATTCTGACAATATCCATATATTTAGATCATTTTTCATATAACTTTCTAAAATTAACTCCACCTTGTCTTCATTCATGGTTCACCATGGTTTACGTCCAATGACGATTATTTTAGAAACTGAAATTTTTTGAGAATTATTAGATATTTGAAATGTTTTAAATTAATTAAGCGTATTTGACCAAGCGATATATTTCTTAGCTCTTATTGTTTTATATCACACTAATAATAAATGATATATTGTCCCAGCTACGCTAATTTCCGAAACAAATTACAGTGACAGAGTGTAAGGAAGCACATGTAAGTTGATGCCATTATATTAACATTTAATACAAAAATGCGTATTAAAACATCATTAAAATCTAATTAAATATCTACAATAGGATGTCATTTGTGGAGTACTGTGATAGACATTAAGAACGCCGTTCAATATTAAATCCGGCGCAGTACTTTTGTCACTGACATTAATATGCCGGCGTTGGCTGACAGATTTAGTCGGCTTCATACTTTCTTGACGTTTAGTTTGCAAAATAATTATTCGAAAAAATTGGTTGGAAAAAACAAGTGTCCCGGGAAGTGTTGTAGAAATGTTGAATAATTTTTGAAAAAGGTTGACAATATTCAATAAACAATGCCTGATAGAGCATTAGTTTACAATGTTAAATAGTATAGCCATTGTAGAGTAGTTCTGTTAGACTTCAAAGAGGGTAATAACTGGAAACAAAATTGAACAAGCTACACCCACAACGAAGCAAACATCGTAATGGTCAGAGAAAGAAAGAAAAACCAGCAACAACAAAATCGATAAATGTTTAAACAGCAGTTCAAATGGAATAAGCAATTGTCTAAAAATAAATATTAGAAGAAATAAAGAGACGACTGAGCGGATGAAAGTGAAATAATTATTCCAAAAAACTTAAAAACCAACAACAATAACCACGACGACAACAATAGAAAGTAAGACATACGGCAAGACAGGCGTAGACATTTGTTTAACAAAACAAACAACAATACAAAATACAACAAATTTTCACACGCCAAGGGAAAACTCACAGGCAATAACAATAAGACGACGGCAACGTTGACGCCAACATCGCCACTTGGCTGTGACGTCGACAGTGAGAAAAAAGTTATCGCAAAAATCACAATAACAACATATCAACAAATACAACAACAATGTCGTCTTTGGGGGGAGGTGCTGCAAGCAATAGCATTCCAACAATTTCTGCAGCCGTATCATCATCGTCACTAGCCAGCAAGACGTCAGCGTCAAATTCCAGTGATGCCCTCAGCTCCTCCAACAGACAGCTGTTGACCACCATACAGATTGTTCAGCAGAAATTCAAAGAGAATGAAAATGTTTTGTCGGTATGTTTTGTTTGCGATTATGACGATTTGAAATCATATATTATCAGGGTCAATGTGTTATTTTTTTTTTTCATTGCCTTGATGTGTGTGTTTAATTTCTATTTTTTCATGAACTTGTCTTATCCAATGTCGTTCTTTTTTCCTAGATATTTGAGGCCTATCAAATCATTGGCCAAGAACACACAAGCCGTATCCTCTGTCTGGTTGTGTCAGTGGCGGGTGGCACCTATGCTGTTTTTTCTATGGCCGCGTCCCGTTTGCCACCGCGATCTTGCAGTGATTTGACTATTGATAAGGTTTTCCCTTTGAATGAATCATTTTGTATGGGCAATGGTAAGCAAAAACAAATTTAAAAAAATATGCTAGACGAAATCTTATCTATGTACATTGATAACTGAGTTGAGTTGGCTAATAGTTGTTCGACGTACGTATGCTTCAATATTGTAAACGTATTATCTGAAAGTCAATACGGGTATTTCAGTATCAACATTTGTATGTATTTCGATACTAATATTTGTTGTTATATTAACCTTTATAATGTTATCATAGAAGATGCTAATGGTCTAATAGAGAAGTGGTCTTAAAAATAAAGGGGATGTGGTTCCTTCAAACAGCAGAATCTATCCTGGCCAATTATTCTTTATTTTCCCGTTAAAGTCAGGATATTAATGCAGGTGTAGGTGTCGACCACTTTATGACTTGCTAGCAGTAACATTTCAGGAAGCAACTCGCTACACTTGCTCGTTTCCAGAAACTGCAATAATCTACTTTTTTTGCAAAATTTTTCAATACTTTTGCATTTTTGCAGGTCGGGAGCATATCAATTGTCTCCAATAAAATAATCCTCATTTAACAGACATTCCCAAGAGAGAATTCACAGTGTTGTTTTCCATATATGAAAATGAAAAGCTGATTTGCCAACGGCAAAACCGTTTTTTTATATCCTCAGCCATATACAGCCAAAACATGCCTCGTCGAAATAACCCTAGGTCTCTTTGGACCAAAATCGTTTCAAATTCATCCGTCCGTCTGGCTGGATGGTGCGCACGATAACTCTCGAAGGGAGTATCCGACTTGATCCAAACTTGGCACATCGTAATATTTGGCAATATTGGTCCACTCCTTCTGGTACCTCCCCCACAAAGGTCGAAATTTTCGAAGAAAATATTTTGTTGCACAGAAAGAGAACGGTTTATCCGACTTTGCTTTAGCTTTGCGAATCCTTATATTTGCATCAGTGCTAGGTCTGTTGCAAAAATGGACAATATAGGTCCTCTCCATCAAAAGTCTCCCCCACAAAGAGCAAAATTTTGAATAAGTATAACTCTTATAAAATGTAATATAAGAGTCCGATTGTCTTCAAATTACACACAATATTGTCTTCAAATTTATACAATATTTTTATTAACCCATGGTTTGGTGTAAAGATCGAGTATGTTGGTCCACTCCTTCTGGAAGAAACGAATATAAAATCCGAAATAAGCATCTGGTTATGTTCATATTTCATACATCCCATTATTTCTACTAAGACAAGATCAACTGTAAAGATAGGATATAAAGGTCCACTCCTTCTAACTTTCTACTTTAGACTTTTTGTACTCAAACAGAATAGGAGTTGCACGATCTTGAGCGACATCTAAAAGAGTCCAACTCCATTTAATTTTGCGCCATGACTGGTATCAAAATTCCTCATTAAGTTATCTACTTCAAATAGTGTATCTGGTTGTCAAAAATCAATTTTGCTACTAATTCGTTTAAAATATATGACTAAACTTCTTAATCTAAATATTAACATTTAGTTCCCGTATTAACTATGTGTCCGCACCATGACTGGTGTCAAAATTTCTCATTAAGTTATCTACCTCAAATAGAATATTTGGTTCTCAAAAATCAATTTTGCTACTAATTCGGTTAAAATATATAACTAAGCTTCTTAATCTAAATATTAACATTTAGTTCCCATATTAACTATGTGTCCGCACCATGACTGGTGTTAAAATTCCTCGTTGAGTTATCTACTTCAAATAGATTATCTGGTTATCAAAAATCAATTTTTGCTACTAATTCGGTTAAAATATATGACTAAACTTCTTAATCTAAATGTTAACACTTTTGTATTTAGTTCCGATATTAACTATGGGCCCGGAATAATAATAAGAATATATTACTATGGGTGTACTGTTATCTTGATATTGATTTCTTCATTTGTTGTTGTGTAGTTTTTTAGATAAATAACTAATTATCGGCTAAGTGTGAAAAAATGTTCATTGGTTGTGTCGTAATGCTCCATAAAAGTAGATTTTTTCAAAACATAATATAAATGTTTATATAAAAGTTTAAATATAATATAAACTATAACGAAACAGCTCTGTCAATATTAAATTTCTTTAAACCAATACAATTTATTCAGATTTTTTAGGTTTTACACGTATGATTTCTTATCAGCTTCGGAAACTATTAGACATATTAATTGTTCAGTTTGTGACACACATACAATTTCAACGTAAAATATTTTTTATAGGCATGAAATATTGATTTCTACAAAAGTGTTTTTCGTGTTCAATGAGCTCTTTATATACAAATTGTTTTTTTTTATTGATTTTTTTATTTTAAAAACATTTTCTTTTCTCTTGCAGACAGAAAGGGTTCCATATCACAGTTACAATTCACACTAAAATGTTCCGATGAACAACCAGTGAAATATTTCTACTATCCTCTTTCCTCGGATAATGATGTTGTGGATTTTGATACATTTCAAGCTCAAGTGACATCGGCAAAAATGTCCATGGTCCTTTCACCAAGTGAATCAACTGCACTAAGTTTTGCTTGGGTCAACGATTATCGACAAATTGGTGAAGTCAAACAGGAAATGAAGAGACGAGAACATGAGTACATAAAATACAAGGATTTCACGTATGTAACAAATTAGGCATAATGCGATCATATTTTAATTCGATTAAATCTTTATATTTACAGAATCTATTGTGCCACATATAATGTAAATAATAAGTCATATATTGATTCCCCTTTACATTTATGGTTGGCTGCCTCTGAAGATGCACCAGATATTTATGCCATAGCCCTACAAGAATTGGATACATCAGCCAAAGCCATAACATTCAGTGAAAATCGTCCAGATTATATGTGGATGTAGGTCCCACTCGAATTGTTATCTTTAACTAAAAACGGAATTAAATACTATTGTTTTCTGTTCTGTTTTAGTATGAAAATGTTGGAAAGTGTCCATGACAAGGGTGAATATGAAGAACTTACCTCTGTACGTTTGGTGGGCATGATGTTGACCGTCATTGTGAAGAGAGAAATCCGTTCTTCTATTACCCGCCACAATGTAAAAACAATTGCCAGAGGCATTCTCAATACTTTGGGAAATAAAGGCGGTGTTGCGGTTAGTTTGCAGCTGAACGAGGCCAATCTATGTTTTGTCAATTCTCACTTGGCTGCCCATATGGGATTTGTGGAGGCTCGTAATGAGGATTATCATGGCATTGTGAAGGGATTGGTTTTTGATGATGAATTAAGGAGGACCATTAATGATCATGAGTGAGTTACAAATCTACATAAATATCTTAAAAAATATATAAAACTTTATTTATTTACAGTCACATATTCTGGATTGGTGATTTGAATTATCGCATTGAAGAGCCACCCGGTTTACAATTACCAGTGGCCCGTTCAACAGCCCACTCGGCAGAAATTCTGCTCAAATATGATCAGTTGCGACAAGAAATGCGCAAAGGCAATTGTTTTGAAGGTTACACCGAAGGCCCGATAAATTTCCGTCCTACCTATAAATATGATCCTGGAACCGATAATTATGACAGTAGTGAAAAACAAAGAGCACCAGCCTATTGTGATCGTATTTTATGGAAAGGATCACGCATTACACAATTGGCCTATAACAGTGTTATGGATATACGGCAAAGTGATCATAAGCCGGTCTATGCTGTGTTTAGAGTTAGCATAAAGACACGTGATGATCATTTGTACAAGAAGGTCCATGAGGAAGTTCTGAAACTGCTCGATAAACGCGAAAATGAGAGTCAACCACAAATTATTGTGGAGAAGACAATCATTGATTTTGGTATGGTGCGTTTCAATGAAACAGTGGTGAGTGATTTTACGGTTTCAAATGCCTGCCCCATGCAGGTTGGTTTCGAGTTTAAACGTAAAGATCCACCGCTAAATGCCATATGTGAGAAATGGTTGAGAGTTGAACCATGGAAAGAGAAACTAATGATAGGTTTGTAAACCTTATATGATTACCATATTCCATTGCATAATTAATTAATTTTGTCTTCCTTATAGATTCCACCAAAAGTATACGTGTAAAATTATCAGCCAATGTTGATTCCATAACTAGTCTATTGCAAAAAATTCGCACCACCAATTGGAAATTTGATTTTGATATTCTAATTTTACAAGTTGAAAATGGTCCACATATCTTTATTACCGTAACGGGTGAATACAAGCCCAGCTGTTTTGGTTTATCCATGGAAACGTTGTGCCGTACCGATCGACCACTGTGTGAATATGACCAACAACAAATTAAAGATTTGGTTGGTTTACATAGATGCAATTGATGGAAATTATTATTAATCATTTTATGGTATTTCAGATGAACGATGAATCTCCAGAATTCCGTGTTACCATGCCTCGAGAATTCTTTTTACTCATTGACTATTTACATAAGCAGGGACCAAAGGTCGAGGGAGCTTTTACCTTGGATTCATTGGAATTTAAACATGCCCGAAATGTCGAATTTAATGATATTAGAGATTGGTTGGATACATGGTCGAATAATGAATTTCGTAAGTAGATATTATACATTACAAATGTTGTAACCACTTGTTGATATAGATTATTTTTCTAAGTAGTAATTGACGAAGTAATTTAGTGTGAAATTGAAATATCGGAGTATTGCCCACTCATAGTCCTGGGCTAATCGACAGAGATGTCTAGAAGTTTTCATTACTATGTTTCATATTCATTAGCTCCCCAAAATCCCAATTTGGATAATTTCAAAACTTGTAACTTGTTTGTGGAAGCTTGAGAGGTCTATCAAAGGAAACCTTCCTCGTTCTCTATTATGCCAGAGCTCGATTTGTTGTTATGTTACTGCTATGTAAACTAAAGCTATTTTAACTTATCCATTAGACTACAAAAATGTGTTTTCTTAAAGCACTGAATATTCATCTACCTTCATTATATTTTGTATCTATATAATTTAGTGAGGTAGATTAGATCCATAATTGTAAATGGGAGTCGAATACTGTTAGCACCTTATTTGGGATGCCGTAGTTATTTTGTTGTTGCAAATACTTGCAATGCACGACCAGCTGTGGTTGTTCATAAGATAAACCTTATTGATCTATACTTTCCCCAGAGGTCGCAGTTCTTTAGCTAGTGCTAAAAGGCTCCTCCTGAAACAACAGGTCCGTATCCTTTTTTGTCTGGGACCTATCATTCTGTATTTACAAAGTCTAGGAAGATACGTAGGTCGAAAACTATAAATGAGTCTCTAGATCAATATGTCTGCCAGGAATGCTAAAGTTATATTCATACTGTCCTTGAAGCCAACATCATCCATTGGAGCTAGAGAGTCAGTCTTAGTCAAGCAGAAATAATTATATCCATCCTACCCAAGATTGATTCAGCTGACTCTATTTTTACCGGCTCATATAATATGAAGAATGTTAGCTCAGTATGCGGCTATTTGTCATGTCACATTTCTCAAGAAAATCTATAATTAGGTCTGATGAAGATAAACACAACAATTCCGGAAAATATGAGTTATTAATAGAATAAGTTATTGGTTATTTCTGGAACCATCAACCGATACGGTTTAAGTAAAGCCTTTCAGGGACTAGAACGATTCAGCTAGGTACTTTGCAAAGTTATTTTAAAGCCCCTTGTTTATTTGAAGAATATCGTCCATGATTAGTCATCTTTACAGAGCCAAGTGAATAAGTTTGAACAAGAAACAAAATTCAGATGCAGGAGAAGTGAAATAATACTTAGATCTAAACGATTCTATTAGGCCCTTTTCGAAGCCATTTGTTTGGCCCATGGAGTATTTAATGAATGCCGTATATTAGAATGTGTGAGCGTTTCACATAAAATTGGTGCCTCTTTCCAAAAACTCTTTTGGCTCTTTTTAGTTAACTTTGAGTTTTTCGGCAACAGTAATTATACCCTCAGCCATATGGCTAGAGAATAAACGGTTTTAGATCTAGGTCTCTTTGGACCAAATCCTTTTCAGGACATTTTGAGTCGATCTGGCGATGTCCGTCCGTCCGTCTGTCTAAATTTTAAGTCAGGTACGAAAACGGACAATATCGGTCCACTCCATCAAGTACCTCACCCACAAAGGGTCAACATTTTGAACATCCACGAAGCTCAAATAAAGCGAAATTAACATGCAATTCCATTTAGACTTGGTGCATCTCAATATTTGTATCAGAGGAGATCTGTAATAGATAAAGTTGAGATCGAGCCATTCCTTGTGGTACCTCCGCCAAAAAGGGTCAACATTTTAAATAACCAAAACGGCCATAAAATCCGAAATGAGCATCCGATTCTCTTCATTTTTCACACATCACATTTATACTAACACAAGATCTATTAAGATGGGATATATCGGCCCAATCTTTTAATACCTGCCCCACAAAGGTCAACATCCGATTCCATTCAGACTTGGTACATCTCAAGATTTCCATTAATACAAGAACTGACCATTTCTTTTGGTACCTCCCGCCATAGGGTTCAAGATTTTGAAAAACAAAACGCTCAAAGAAAGCAAAATAAGCACCCAACTCTCTTCAAATTTCACACATTCAAGCATTTTTGCTTACGCAATATCTGTTGTGAAGATGATATATATCTGCGAACTCCTTCCAGTACCTCACCCACAAAGGGTCACAATTTTCAATATTCTTCTTTACAACTTGTTATATCTAAATATTTCTCTCAACCAGAAAATTGGAAATAAATGTTCGATTTTCTTGTAATTTTGCCCATATCAATATTTTTATCTGTATTAGACGAATTATGAAAACAGAATACTTCGGTCGACTATATCTGGTACCTCACGCACATTTTAGCATATTCTAAAAATTATCACATATCTCATATAAATTGAAGGAAGTAGTCGATAAAGTCCAAACCTGGTACGTGGCAATATTTATATCATATATATTTAGGTCCGATACGAAATGGATAATATTGGTGCATTACTTCGGAACCTACTCCATAAAAGGCCAAGAGTTTGAAATTAAAAATTATTTAAATCGAACATTGGTTGAGGGTATACATCTGTCGGAAAGCCGACTGATACTTATTAACTTGTTAACATTGTCTTTAAATAATGTTAATTATGATTCAAATTTCCAATATGTATTCTCCTCAACCACGTTAAGCTGTATACGCATTTGCATTGGATTCCTTTCCACCTATGTCATCACTTGTAAAAACTTTGTAACAATTTTCCAATATTTACGTCATCTTATCTTTCTTCTCACAATTTCAGCTGGTACACCACAAGCTGCGGCAGAAGCTTTACTTATGCTACTCCATTTGCCGGAGAAGCCATTGCTGGATCCCTATGTTGATGATCTCCTGAAAACTAAAACCACCGCTGAAGCCATGGAATTAGTTTCGTTATTAAGTTCACCCAAAAGAAATGTTTTTGTTCATTTATGTATGTTCCTACGTGAGGGTATCGAACGTAAATATTACAATGGCATGCATGTGGGTAAGTAGTATAGCCACAAGAATACTTTGCTATTCGTTGTACGCGCTTATGGTAATTCCTTCACGATTTTTTCTTGCTCTTCCCTTACAGCCACAATATTTGGTCGAGTACTGTTGCGAAGCACTAAAAAGTCAGATGATTATTATCGTGACATCAATTGTCGAGAATTTATGCAACGTTTCATAAGTAACGGGGAAATGAGTACGTTATCATCATCCTCATCGTCGGCATCCTCGGCAACTGGCAGCCATCACAATCATCATAGAGCCACAACGCCAGTGGCTAAAATGAAAAACTCTGCATCAAATGCAAGTTTATCAGGGGGCAGTACTGCAGCAGTGGATTCATCCTGAAAGGAAATATAAAACAAAAGCAAATAACAAGAAATGACTTAATTGAATTATTTGTAAATTTGTTGTGTTAGGCAAACAGTTTTATAGCATTTTTTTTTTGGTAACAAAAGTTCATTTTTGCTAGAATTTTTAAAAATTTTTTAACCACAGACATCTCAACACTTCTTGTTAACGCCGAGTACACATAGTTTTCTATTTTACCCACCCCCCACATATGTTTTGCAAGTTATCTATGGACATGTTCGTTTTTTACATACCACATATCTAAGATATATAAATATGGTATACAGTTATATATAAAGGAATTATAAAATATTAACAACGATTTCTATATATATACATTTGTATTTTCTTTGTCTACCGACTACGTTTAGTTCAAATTGTTGCGCTTAAATTCCATTTGTGTGTTTTTATTGCACAGATAGCTTTAAGTCATTTATAATTATTTGTAAGTCTAGTTATTATTTTTAAATATCTACTGTATTTATGCATCTATTAATTATTACAACAAATGATCAAAATTGTTTAATTAATTAGTTGAGTACAATACGAAACAAAATTTGTTTTCGGAGACATGAGTTTCTCTCTATCTATCTATATAAATATTGTAATTTATTTGAGTTTTAACGTCGTAATTTATTTAATATCTAATAAAAGTTAAGTTGAATTATTGTTAATAATCGATATTGAAAGAAAAAGAAAAAAAATTTATTCTCTTTTGCTGTTGTTGCAGCTATTGTGTTTTTGCAGGGTATAACCACAAACTATATACTATAACCATTAGTTGGAGAATTATTACCAGGATAACCCTACACTCATTTTTACCACTAACATCCACGCAAACTAAGAATTCCCATTGTGTTTAACGTTTAATGACAAACATTTTGGCCGTATTGAGACATTCAACGCGTATTGAGACTGTTACTGTTACACCTTCCTGGACTAATAAAACATCATATGATAGTAGTTCCGTGTCATTGTTGTATTCGCGCATTTCCCAATGTGTCTCTAACTACCCAGTTCAAGTGGATTCGGACAGTTTACCACATTTCATGGTTAAGACACCCACGAATCCGAGTAAGAAGGATGACAGAATGGCTGAAAAACTTCAACTTAATTTTTCATTTTCTTCAATCTTATTTTTAAAATAACTCAATTTTTATACCCTCCACCATAGTATGTAGGGTATGTTAAGTTTGTCATTCCGTTTGTAACACCTCGAAATATATATTTCAGACCCCAAAAATATATATTCTTGATCAGCATAAATTTCTGTGTCAAAATGGAAATCACTCTGGATTCCGAACGAAATGAAGTAGGTTGATACCTCCCTATTATCGGTATTTTGGTGATTTAAGCGACATTATTCACGGGAAATGTTTTAAATTTGGTATTTGAAGTTCGTAATGGATACTACAGCCTATGACATAAAATTGTCAGTGCAGGTTCATGTCTTCCTTTAGCCTTCATATAACTTTACCTCCCGATATTCGGTATTTTTATGATTTTTGCGACATTATTCACGGGAAATGTTTTAAATTTGGTATTTGAAGTTCGTAATGAATACTACAGCCTAAGATAGAAAATTGTCTGTGCAGGTTCATGTCTTCCTTTAGCCTTCATATAACTTTACCTCCCGATATTCGGTATTTTTATGATTTTAGCGACATTATTCACGGGAAATGTTTTAAATTTGGTATTTGAAGTTCGTAATGAATACTACAGCCTAAGACAGAAAATTGTCTGTGCAGGTTCATGTCTTCCTTTAGCCTTCATATAACTTTACCTCCCGATATTCGATATTTTTATGATTTTAGCGACATTATTCACGGGAAATGTTTTAAATTTGGTATTTGAAGTTCGTAATGGATACTACAGCCTATGACATAAAATTGTCCGTGCAGGTTCATGTCTTCCTTTAGCCCTCATATGACTTTACCTCCCGATATTCGGTATTTAGATGATTTTAGCGACATTATTCACCGGAATTGTTTCAAATTTAATATTTGAAATTCGTAATGGATATTACATCCTATGACAGAAAGTTGTCTGTGCATGTCCACGTTTTCGTATAGCCCCCATATAACGGTACTTTCCGATATTCGGATTTGACGATTTTAGCTTATTATTCACCGATTATTTTCAAATTTCGCATTTGAATATGGTAATGGCTTGTGACAAAACTTGCCTATGCAGATCCACGTCGTCGTATAGACTCTAATATAACGGCTAAATTTTGTATTTTTAAGATTTTAACGGATTTTTATTTTTGAAAATTTCCAAATTCGTTTCAAATGGTGGAGGGTATTCAAAGTTAACACGCCTTCAATCTAACAGGGAAAGAAATATACGAGCATGAGTAACGCAAGAACAATGAGACATGCTCCAACGAAGCAACAGAAGGCGTGCAAGAATCTGAAGGGCTAACGAAACCGTCAACAATTTAATAATGTCTTAAAAAAAAAAAAAAATGAATTTTGTCGCACAGTACTATGATGAGGGGGAGGTTTTAGGCCTCCAGATTTTTAAAATTTATGTATCAATTCGACTACATCAATCACGTACCGTACATTGCAGTGTGATGACTTCTCGAAAAATCCTTTTTGAATTACAAGTGGGCAGTTGATGTGAACTATTAGACTATATGAGATGAAGTTATGTGAAATTTATATTACATTTCAGAATTTAAGCTCTAGTCCTTCATCCAATACCAAACATAAACCTCAATATCAAAGTCGACGATTCCAGTCATAACCCTTCACCCAATACCAAATTTATTAATATTTAGTAGGCCTTTCCTGAACAATCTACATCTCTCTATCCTAGACACCAATGGTGATCCAAAATTGGTACTTTTCGAACAATTACAGTACACATTTGCAAAAGCTCTTCCATATCTTAATTCCAGATACCAACAGAGACCTCAATATCAAATTTGAGGATTCCAGCCTTATTCCCTTATCCAATAACAAATTTAGTACCATTTAGTACTTTTCGTACAAATATGGGGCGCATTTCCAAAACAACCTTCATATCTTAACCTGTGACACCAACAGTGAAATGTAAGTCATATTTCAGGATTTAAGCTCTATTCCTTCATTCAATACCAAGCAGATATTAAATTCGAGGATTCCAGTCCTATACCTTGGCTCAATACACACATTTGCAAAACCTCCTCCATACGTTAAATCCAAATAACAACAGAGACCTCAATATCGAATTTTAGTACCTTTCGTACAAATATAGGACGCATTTCCAAAACCATTTAAATCACATTTCAGGAATTAAGCTCTAGTCCTTCAATCAATACCAAACTGACAACAACGTCAAATTCGAGATTTCCAGCCCTATCCCTTGACCCAAACCAAATTTATTAACATTTAGTACGTCTATCCCGAACAACATACATTTCTCCATCCTAGACACCAATAGTGTTCCCAAATTAGTACCATTTAGTAATTTTCGAACAATTACAGTACGCATTTCCAAAACCACCTCTTAATTCTAGGTAGCAAAATATACTTTACTTTCAAATATGAGGATTCCGGCCATTCCAATACCAAATTTAGTAACTTTTTTACAAATGTAGGACGTATTTCGAAACCACCTCCAAATCTCAAGTTTCAAAATTTTATCTCTATTCCTTCACCAATACCCAATGAAGTACCATTCTGTACTTTCGTACAATTTTAGTACACGTTTCCGAAACCGCCTCCATATGTCCAGGCTGAGCGATTCTAATAGAAAATTTCAGATTTCAAGCACTACTTGTTCACCTAATACTAAATTGTAGCAAATAGGGTACTATTTAGTACATTTCGTGCACGTGTAGTACACATTTGCAAAATCACCTCTTAATCACGAACCTAACATCAACAGGGACCCCAACAGAAACTTTCAAATTCATCCGTTCACCCTAAACCAAACTGTTCCAAATTAAGTACCATTTAGTACAGTTCACATACTTAGTACACATTTCAAAACTACCTTTATATATTAAAATTACTTTTCTAACCTTGTTTTTTATACCGAAATTCTTTTTTTTTTTTTGGCTCTATCCGTTTTCAAATTACCAAGTAGTACAATTTGAGATGTTGAGTAACATTTGGGAACTTTTCTTAGCCTTAAAGTTCGAATTTCCAAAAACCCTTTGGTATATCTATCCTTTACTCCATCAGAATTCTAGCTCATTCCGTTTGTCCAATACAAAATATTCAATTTTTAGTACATTTTAGTACTTTTCGTAACCTTTTAGTACGAATTTCCAAAAATCCAGGCATATCACTCGCCTAGATACTAAGACTGATCCCCGTGCAAAATTTCAAGGAACTAGCTTCGTTTCGTCTGGGAATTGATTCTCCGTCAGTTAGAAGGTCTCGTTGGTTTGAGAATGTCAACAAATTGCATTTTGCACATTTCAAATTGAGCCAGAGAAAAGCTTTGTTGACATCATCAAACTAAGTTAACGGGTCAATTCATATGTGAACAAATGGCGCCCAACGATATTGCGCCACCTTAAGTTATTTATAAGACCCCGTGCACGCACTTTGTGTCTGGTATATGTATTAGCCACGAAATCAAATTGCTTTGGGTGGGTTTATAATTCCCCCCATATTGTTCCCCAATTTGACACCTAAAACTGACAAAAAATTAAATTTGGTTCACACCTTCAAAGATTTCGCATTCTAATTTTTTCATTTTGTTTCCAAAATTATGAATTCAATTTTAGTTACGTTTTTTTTCAGCAAGGTTTTCTTTTCTCATCGCACTTGGCTACGAAAACATTATTAGCAAGCAAATTAGTTTTATTCAAAAGGACTGTCTATCAGTATGATGTGTGTGTGCGTAGTAGGTGCCAGGACTGGGTGGTTTAAAATTTTCATTTAGCTAATTTACACATTTTTATAGTCAAATATACCCGCAGGTATACTTACAAACGAACACAAAAAGTGGCGCGATGAAGAGACAAGGCGTTGGAAAGGACGAAATTACATATGGCAATGTTGAAGTGCCATCATTGTACATTTAAGGAAATTTTGACAAGTACTTAAGTATGTCCTTACAATGATGTGTGGATTAACATTAAGATGGGGTTGCTATGATGAGGAATTGGAAAATAACGGTGTTGGGTTTGTAGGTCAATGGTTTATTTCAAAGTGATTTTGAAAAACTTAGGCATAGGGCTACGAAGGGTATATTTTATTTGATATGGCCAAAACGTGCCTCATCTAAATAACGGTTTTAG